AAGCTAGAAGTAGTGAGTTCGACTTAGCGAAGCAAGTCCGACTCGTACCGCAGTTTAACGAGGCTGACGTCGACAAATATTTTCAGCATTTCGAAAAGGTCGCCTCAAACCTAGCATGGCCCATAGAAACGTACCAATTTTACTGCAGACCGCACTAAAAGGCAAAGCTCAAAAAGCGTATGCCGCGCTCTCAGTAACAGATTGCGCTGAATATAGCATTGTGAAATCGGCCATTTTAAAGTCGTATGAGCTTGTGCCGGAGGCATACCGGCAAAAAATTTAGAGCCTGCCGAAAGGGAGACAAACAGACTTATGTAGAATTCTCTAGACAAAAAAAAACCTATTTCGATAGATGGGTTTATCGAAAAACATCGAGTCAGATCACGATAGGCTAAGGCAAATGATACTGATAGAGGAGTTCAAAGAATGTGTCCCTGATAATTTGAAAACCTACCTCGATGAAAAAAGGGTAGATACTTTATATGAGATGGCCACCCTCGCTGACGAATACGCGTTAACACATAAGCGGGGTACGTTCAATCATAACAACCCATCCGAATTTGGAAGCGGTCCACACCCAAGACGTGGATCTGGTTCTGGTCCGAATTCGAAGTTTGGTCGATCGGTTGGTTCAGGCCAATTCCCCAGTCCGAGAGATACCAAATCTCAAAATCCTAGTTCTCCGTCACCTGTTTATCGGCAGACGAATAGGAGAGAGAGAAACTCCCCGATGTGCCACTACTGCAATAAAGTAGGACACCTCGTGTCGAATTGTTGGACGAAGCGGAATGCCGAGTCCAGAGCCCTAAGTCAAGAGAGACCCCAAGGGCTAATTTCTTCCGACAGCGTTACTCTAAATAGGAAACCGAATGAAGATGTGAGGGAGGGAGTATAGGCCATTTGTGTCTAATGGTGCTGTATCCCCGTTGATAACCCCACGAAGAAGAAATCCGTGAAGATCTTGCGGGACACTGGGGCCACTCAGTCCCTGATTGTGGAGAGCTTCGTGCCGTGTGGATCGGATTCGGCCACTGGCGAATTTGTTATCATACAGGGGTGTTAACAGCAACTTTTGTTAGCGTTCCCCTTCATCGAATCCACCTCACGTCTGGGTTAGTTTCTGGCCCTGTCGAGGTCGGAGTAGTTCTAGTTTGCCTATGAAAGGCATATCCATGCTGTTAGGGAAACGAATTGGCGGGTGGTAGGGTGATACCCCACCTAAAGTAGTTCCGAACCGGTTGCTTCAGTGAACACCGAAGATATCGAGAAGAGAATCTCGATATATTTCCTCGTGCAGTGACCAGAGCACAGGCCAGAAAGAAGGCCGATGAAAAGATAAACGAGATAATCGATGGGACAGAAGACGAAGGATAGACCTATCGCAGACGTTTATAAATCCTGATGTGGGATTAAATTATCCTCCCGATAGTAACCCAACTGGAAATAGCGATGGTATTGTTGAGCCCGCTATGGACATTCCATTATCGAGGAGAGCACTTATAACAGAGCAGGGGAGTGATTCTGAGCTCACCCCACTCTTCCGTCACGTATTGCCCGAGGATGAGTTGGAGAAAGTTCAACTGGATACTTTATTAAGAATGAGATATAATGAGGAAGTGGAGACCCCCCACATCTCCGCCTCAGAAGACTGGTCGACAGTCCACCAAATAGTACTCCTAAACGGTACAGACCGGAGGTCATGAGGACAGCTCATGAGATCCCATTGGGGGTCACCTTGGCGTTAACAAGACGCACGATAAGATCGTCAGATACTTTTACTGGCCGGGTATCCGAAGGGACGTGTCTGAGCATTGCCGGACTTGCCACATCTGCCGGGTTGTAGGGAAGCCGAACCAGAAAATCCCCATCGCACCCCTACATCCCATTCCTGCCTTCGAGGAGCCATTTTGTCGCATTATCGTAGACTGTGTTGGTCCGTTACCCAAAACTAAGTTAGGGAACCAATACCTGCTAACGATCATGTGCGCCTCGACCAGGTTTCTGGAAGCGATACCCATGAGAATCTATCCGCCAGGAAAATAGTAAAGGCCCTTGTTAGCTTTTTTTCACCATGGTCGGCTTACCCAGGGTGATACAGTCAGACCAGGGATCCAACTTCATGTCAGGGGTGTTTCAACAAGTTACGAGAAGTTTGGGTATAAATCCATTAAGTCAAGCGCCTATCACCCCCCAGTCCCAAGGTGCCTTGGAGGTTCCCCATTCCACCTTGAAGAGCATGATGAGAACATATTGCCTGGACCACCAACACGATTGGGACGAAGGTATCCCATTCCTAATGTTCGCCGCTCGCGAATCCGTACAGGAATCGTTGGGGTTCAGCCCATTTGAATTAATATTTGGGCATTCAGTCCGCGGTCCTTTAAAGGTACTGAGGAAGGTTTGTTGCGGGAAGACCCAGTAACAGAAAATTTGCTGGAATATGTTCACGTTTCCGAACCCGACTAGCAGAAGCATGTGAACTGGCCCGCGAACCTCCGGT